TGAAGGAGTTCATTCACCAAGACTGAAGATCAAACAAACTACTAACCAATTGTAGTTTTTTTATTCTTTTTAGTCAAATGTTTCTTGTGTTGAGTCACTGGCAAAAAAAGGAACTAAATTTGCTCCTTTTGCAATGTAGTTAAGGGAAAGTGGCATCAGAGCTCCTTACTAGGCGATTTGTAGGTAGATAGCGGACGACCCTGAGTAGCGAGATCTGTCTACTGCACCAGTGAAGTTTTCACAGACTTTGAGCTGTGAACGCTTCGAAAGTACAGTAATCTTCCTCTATTGTTTTTAAGGTGAACTTTTGCTTGATTGGTAAGAACTTTTTTCTTGTGTCATGGTTTTCCCAAGGTTTAACACGCCGCTTCAGAGTGGATTTGATTGGTAAGGTGTTCTCATTACCCTGCGTACACATTCCAGTGTACTTTAAATTCGCTTCCAAGGTTTGTACCACCATACCTGCTGTCTAAGACGCTTTCGATTGTGGACAAATGGAAGCTGGTGAGTCTGAGCGATTTTTATCCTTTAGCATTTGTTCTATTGTCTGGGTCCTTGGGTAAAGAAGCCTCACTATTTTACCACCTACAAAATCTCTGCACTTTATTATATAACTAGGGCAGTTATCAAGGCTGCGGAGTTAGTGGGAAGAAATGCACAGTCGATTAAAAGATGTAATTGTGCATTTTTTGCACTCATAAGCTGTTTACAGCTTTAGCATTGAGTGTGGTGCGTCAAGACTTCTCTAGAAACAAAAAAAGAGGTACAGCACTAGGTGTAATTATGTAAATGAAACTTGTAATGGGCCTGGAAGCTGCTGACGCGGTCTGGTGGTTACTTCTCCAGCAGAGGGTACTGTGGAAGAGCAGTTAGGTGGCTTCCTTGTCAACACCACGACGTAAACAGGCTACTAATACATCTCGTCTGATATCCCTAAACTTTCTCAGGTGTAATAAGACTTGAAGATTTAGCACCAGCTAATCGGTGTCGGAGACTTACGACAAGCAAAACAGGATACTTAAAATGCTGTTTCCATTTCCAATATATTCGTCAAATTCACCAACTTTTGTGTCGGAGTTGAGGATTAGAAATGAGGAATCTCGAGTGCTCCTTAGTGTGCATGGATCTTATAGCGCCTTGAGAGTTCCCCTACAACAAAAGAAGTTGCAGTACTTTATGTGCAGAAAGGATTCGCTTTGCTGGCAAGGCTGTTGAATTGGATCGCTTGGTAAAAGCGTAGCGGCAAACAAAGTGTACACTTTCTACAATTAAGGGCTAAATGAACAACCGCCGTATAAAGGACAGCTACTCAGTCGATTAGAGACTCAAGTTTTGGAAAGAGGTGCAACCATCAACTTCGGAATACATTTTAAAGACTTGTAAAGTTGTAAATATTGTGAAACGAAGGCACGCTCTCCAAAATTGTAGTTGTAGAGCTGTATGACTTTATGCGTGTGCGTGCGTGCTGCAGGTATGCGAGTCTGAATGAAAGTGAGGTAGACGCTAGCCTTTACGATACGTTCACAGACTCCCATAGGGCATCCTCTTAGTTCCGCACTTTTGGTATTCTCATCAATTGCCTCATAACTACGTTCGCTAAACCGCTTAGGGTTTTCGACATTCTTTTGATCTCAGAGTTTTTAGGGCGCTACATTTGTGACGGAGGAAATTCGGCTAAGGCTCAAGAGAAAACTATTCAAATGTCTATCATCGTATGAAAGACCTTAGCTAAGGAGAAGACGCATTTGGTGCAAACAAGAGATCTCTTGGTGACTTTCAACGGGAGGATTGAATAAGATGCCAATCTCACAAAACTGTACGAAAATTAATAGTATCAGGGTTAGGGGGTTGCCTGATGCACCTCTATGAAGACATAAATGGTGCGAACTCAGAACGCCTCCACTACTTCCCACTGGCTAAATGATAGGCACAACAAAGTGGAAGCAGCGCAATAGAGAGAAATAAGCGCTGAAATCCATTTCCCGCTTTCTTCCCCTCCCCCCAAAAGAGAAAAAAATATATTAAGCTTGGCTGTTTTTTATGAAAGATTTTAGGCCAATGTGTCCACGACTAGTGGAGGGCACGTGTGATAGTTAGCACACTCCTTGTACCTCAGCAAGCTGGGCTTTCAGATTGGGAGATTAGGAATGATGTCCTACTGCATCAAGAGCACAAATGATAGCGAATACAGAAGTTGGAGAAAAGAGCTGAGAATGAGGGTTAAGATGAGGAGAGTGTTAATATGATGTCTGGTCCTCGATTTTGGTAAATTGATTTCCCCGTTGTAACTGCTGCGTTACTAGATTTAAGCCCCTTCCGTTTACTAACACTTAATATTCTGGTTATTATTTATTTTCTCCAGTCCTTTGGTTTTTAAGATGTTACAGTCAAGCATAAGACTGAAGCTACTCAAAGAGCAGTGAGTAACCCACTTAGGAGAACTAACCCATGGCAGGCTACACCTAATGCTGTGCTCCAAACTCCTGTTGTTAAATGTCGTTTCACTGGCTTTCAATCTCCAGAAAAACATCCCCGCTCGCATTTACACATGATCTTCTGCTTCTCGATATAAAAACAATAGAGGTAAACAGATAAGTAGATA